CTCTGCCTCCCCAGCACTGGAATTAAAGGCGTGGGCCACCACCACCCAGCTTGAGAATTTTTTTTTTATCTTAAAAAGAAATTGTATTTTAAAGGGGCCATTACTGAACCTATGCAGGTATTTTAGTTTCGGTTCATCTTTAACCTTCCAAATAAGATCCTTTCCTAAAAATCATTCCAACAGAATTGTATTTAGTCTTGTTAGGAGCATGATCCAGTTTTCCTAACATGTGCCATGATTTATTTAAATGTTCTTGGGACATCTGTGGATCCACTCATGCTCGCTCTCTCTCTCTCTCTCTCTCTCTCTCTCTCTCTCTCTCTCTCTCTCTCTCTCTCTCTCTCTCTCTCTGACAACAGTGGCTTGCCAACTGTAAGGCAACGTTCGCAGGCGGATCGAGAGATGGAGTGATTACCTGCCAGCCCGGGGACTCGGAAGAAAAGGTAATGGATGCCTGGTAAGACTGTGCCTCTCCTGTGGCCTGGCTCTGTGTTGGGCTTGATCCTCACAAGCAGCATGGAACTTGAGAGAGGAAGAGGTGAAGGGAGCCATCTCCCATACATGAGTCCGACAGAGGAAGGCATGCATCTATAACATGCATGGCAGTGTGTTGACCAGACAGGGGGACTTCTGCTTTCTCCTTTCAGAAAAAATAGACATAAAATTAACCTTTTTGCCAGGTGCTTCGTAACCATGCTAATCACTTCCCAATGAGCCTGTTCTTAATCCTGAATAGAAAACCACAGTCAGCATTCCTTGCTGGACCTCTCGGTTCCTTCACTGAACCATCAAGTTCATTGAAAGAAAAGAAATTTGTCTGTTGACTAAATTTTACCATATGCCAGCAACTGATTACAAACATCTTCTATTATGAAGAAAATCAGGTAGAAGAGTGAGATAAAATTATTGTTTTGCTTACTCAAATATGGAGTTCAGAACCACAGACTGCCCTAACATCTCCAGCAACTTGTGTGTGTGTGTGTGTGTGTGTGAGAGAGAGAGAGAGAGAGAGAGAGAGAGAGAGAGAGAGAGAGAGAGAGAGAGAGAGAGAGAGTGTACCTGTGATGTCCTGCTTGCTTCAGTTGATCTGAATACCCTGATTTTCATTGCATACCCTATGCTCTTAGCAAGGACCAGAAGCACAATTTTTCTTCCCTTCTTTGTTTTTTTGTTTTGAAGATAGAATCCTCCTATGTAGCCCTGACTTTCCTAAAATTTGCTGTGTTGACCAGTTGGCCTCAAACTCACAGAAATCTACCTGCCTCCTGAGTGCTGGGATTAAAGGCATGTGCCACTATACCCAGCTTGGATTTGTTTTGTTAAGATTTGTTACAGGTGCACTGGTGCTTTGCCTACATGTATGTTTATGTGAGGGTGCCAGATCCTCTGGAACTGGAGTTGCAGTTGTAAGCTGTCGTGTGGGTGCTGGGAATTGAACCTGGGTCCTCTGGAAGAACAGCCAGTGTGCTTAAGAGCTACAACATCCCTCCTCCAGCCCCAGCTTGGATTAAAAAAAAAAAATCTACTAAGTTTCACATTTTTATGGTCACCTAAGAGGACTCACTCCTGATCCAACTTAATCATCCTGTGGCTTTACCCTTGCTGGCCAAAGTCAGCCCAGAAAATTTAGCACAGGCCTAACCCAGTTCGTGGCATAGCTTGTATATAGCATATAAAAATAGTTATCTAAGCGTTTACTCTCCATTATCAAATCCTATGACACCCTGTAAGGAAGACTCAGTTGGGGAAGTGTATTAATACATTAAAGACTTATTTAGGAATAAAGGTAGAAACCACATCTCTGATCTGTTTAGTTCCCTGGCTAGCCCTACAGTTAAGAGGAGATTGTCATCAAATCACTCTACTTTCCACATATGCAAATTTGCTTCGTTACTTCTCCTGCCCTCCAAAAGTCTTCAGGAACTATCACAGGTACTGGGAGAAGACATCTATTATCATGTATAGAGCTGATATCAAATATTTCCTTTAATCCTCCAGCCGCCCCTAAAACACCAAATCCTCACTAGCCCTCAGGGTGGGCATAGGCTTACCCAGGCATAGGTCTTTTGTTACACAAACTAGGAGCCATTCCACCATGGTCAGGCCATTCGGAGGTAACCAGCAGACATCTAAAAGACAATGGAAGATCTGAGCTCCTGGAATTATTGGCTGGGCAGGCTCAATTCTGAGACATTACCTTGGGGCCCTCCTGACAACATAGAAAAAAACAAAAACAAAAAACCAGAGAGTGACACTCAGCATAAGTGTAAGGTGGTTTTTAGGAAGCTACAGCAATAGTGAGGCTAGCCAGGCAGTGGTGGTGCAGGCCTTTAATCCCAGCACTCGGGAGGCAGAGGCAGGCGGGTCTCTGTGAGTTTGAGACCAGCCTGGTCTACAAGAGCAAGTTCTAGGACAGGCTCTAAAGCTACACAGAAAAACCCTGTTTCAAAAAGAAGCAAACAAACAAAAACAGGAATAGAAATAATGAGGCTACATGCAATACCGAGGAGTGATGATTGATTGTGGGGTTCAAAAAAATGGGGGAAAGGCAACATCTAGTCTGATGCCTTCAGCCTGCTAGTAAAACCAACTGGGTCTGCCTCCAGATAGCACTAGCATGGATTTTCATGGACACAGCAGTCACCAGGGAATTTGGGCAACAGCAGTTGTCTGGGGAAGATTCTTTTAATCTCACATATGTAATAATTTTGGAGTCTTAGTTCAGTTAATGGCCAGAGTTTCCCCATGCTTGTATTAACAATTCTCTAGGGTATGGTACAGCATATGCTAAATAGCACAGAATCAGGGTGAGCAGTTTGCTTTTGTCCTACCAGACCAGTTCTACTCACATGCACAAACTGTTGGGGAGTTTTTCCCCCCTGCCTTCACCTGTCAAGACAGAAAAATCTTTTCATGATTTGCAACCAGCCCTTCTCTAAAAGACTGGTTCCCACGGGCCTATCTGTTCTGGAGTTGCACCCCCTGGTGGTTGAAGTTCACATAAACTTAGGTCTGAAACTCACTCTCTAGACCAGGCTGGTCCACCTGTCTTCCCGCCCCCTGCCCACCCTACCCCCAGTGCCGAGATTAAAGGTGCACAGACTTCTAATGGGGTTATGTTTTAAATCCTGGGTATAAAAAAAAAAAACCAAGCCCCAAATGAAAGCATGCATTATCATTTTCCACAAGACAGCCCCATAGATAGGCAGTTCTACTCTTTTTGAAACCCTAAATGCAAATAAAGCCCCAGTCTATGGCCTGGTGAAGGAATTCCAGATAACAAAAGCCAAGGAAGCTGCCACTATTCCACCTAAGAAGGAGTGCTCAAGAGGAGTACCAGGTGCTTGGCTATCACCCAAGAAGCATAGTTGTGCCCTAATTGCTGAGTGGGAGGAATCCTGTGACATTCCTTAGGACCCAGTCAGAGCTAGCAAAGACAGTTCATTTGCCTTTTACTGACCCGGAATGACTTCACTGTCTTGATGAGTTCCTTAGATTAGGGTCTTGTTTTGTAAATGAAAACAATAGCATTCTTGATTTAGGACTATGCCATTTACCCAGCACTTATGCCATCTCACAACACCAAAAGTTAAAGTCCACAGCAGCAGAAACTGACCTGTTTCTGTACTTACATTTGATGTACATCCTATTTGATGATTCCTGGTAGTCTTCAGTGCTGCCCTGTGCAGGGCTGGAGAGATGGCTCAGTGGTGCTGAGTTCAGCTCTCAGCACCCTTATCAGGTGGATGACAGCTGCCCATAACCCCAGCTCCAGAGGATCCAACACCTCTGGCCTCCACAAACACATACACACACACACTCTTAAATGTAATTTTTAAAAACTGACCCTGTGGCCTGGTGGTGGTGGTATACACTTTTAGTCCTGGAACTCAGGAGGCAGGAGAATCTCTAACTTGAGGCCAACCTGATCTACAGAGCAAGTTGCAGAACAGCCAGGGCTGCACAGAGAAACTCTGTCTCAGAAATTCAAATTTAAAAAACTGGGTGGTGGTGGTGGTCCATGCCTTTAATCCCAGCACTCAGGAGGCAGAGGCAGGTGGATCTCTGTGAGTTCATGGCCAGCCTGGTCTACATAGTGAATTCCAGGACAGCCAAGACTACACAGAGAAAAACCCTGTCTTGAAAAACAAAACAAAACAAAATTTAAAAATAAACTGGTCCTGTGTACCAAATCTGACAGCACACTCTGTATCAGCACCTAAGAATGGAACTTGTAGACATGAAGTTTTTTTCCAGGAACTAGTAAGTGCCTCAGCCATATAATATCCAACACAGGCTTTAAGGGATTTACTTCCCTTTCAAGGCTTAGAGACTCATGACAAAAAAAAAATTCATCAGAAATTTACAGTCAACTCACATGTCACTCTCATGTGATATTGACAATGGGTGAGAGAAAGGGGAGGACCAGGAATCAGAGGTGGGGTCTAAGGGCATCTGTAGGCCCCAGTGATGAGTTGACAGTTTGTTATTCACTGGACCATGTGTTTAAATACACCGTATTAAACTGACAGCCCAAATGTATTTTTGGGTTTTTTGGAGGGAGTTGTTTTTAATAATTTTCCTTGCCAAGGATTGGTAAGGGGATGAGGTAGGTGCTTGTATATATGTGGACTCATAATCGGAATTAATCAAGCTGGTGCTTGGGGTGGGGCCTGAGACAGGGTCTCACTATAAGTCCAGGTTGACCGCAAACTCTCCAGCATCTTACTTTAGCCTCCAAATGTAGAGCCACAGGTGTGCTCCACGGGGCCTTGTTTAAACAGATTTTAGCATTTTAAACATTTTCTTCAAGTTGTGGTACCCCTTCTCAGCTACCAAAAATTCCCACACCCTGTAATTACAGTGTCACTGGTGACATTTAAGAAATGGTAGCTATAGCTGAACATGGCTCACTTTGTAAATATTCAGTATCTTCAGTTAATAACCAGTTTTAGATTATTTTTTTAGGAATTATTTAGCAGATCATAAGAATTAGAAGGATTTTGTTTTTGGTTCATAAGCGTGATGACTGGATGTTCACACCATTGCTGGACAGGTGCCTCCCTAAGACCTTGTCACAATATTGGCAATTACCTGTGAAAAAAATTGTTAATCATAAAAAAGGAAATACTTGTGTTGCATATTTGAATGTATACATCGTTTACTATCTAGCAGCCTATTTTATTACATGTTCTCAAGCAGAGGGCTGGAGAGATGTTGAGAGACGTCGTGGTTGACCATGCCCCATTCTTGCAGAAGGCCTGGGTTTTGTTCCCAGCACCCAGGTTGGGTGACACACAGCTGCTGTACACAGCTGCTGTAACTCCAGCTCCTCGGAGAATCCAGTGTCAATGGTCCCCAAGGGCACCTACACTCATGTGTGCATGCCCACACACACATCATTTTAAAAAATCATCCATACATATTCCCAGTCTGAAAGGCAATCCAATTGAAGAAAATAAGTGACACTGCAGTTGCCACGAGGGGACAGTCCTTCAGATTGCACAGCTGCCCTCATAGCTTATCATGATTCGCGCTAATGCACAGTGCACTCAACTCTTCAAGAAGCAAAAAAAAAAAGTTGCTTCTAGTCTCCCAGGTGGACTCAGAAAACCTAAATCAACTAATCAGAGAATCCCAGGACTAGGAGCCCTGTTTTCCCGGTGCCGTTGCCCACTAAAGCTTGTTTTTTAACCAGACCGCTGTGCATGTTGAACGGGTACAACGCTGGCAACTGCTGGCCAGGTCTGGGCCAGCAAAGCTAACACAGTGGCAGCTCTGCTCCTGGAAGAGGGCTGTGCTTTCTGTTGCATGCCACACTGACCCTATACTTTCTTTCCTTTCCTTTGTCTCCTGCGCCATGCTTGCTGCGTAGCAAATGGAGTCTCTTGCAGTAAGTTAACTTTCTTTCATATTCTTTGTCCACCGAGGCATGGACCCCATAATGAGCCTTATTTTTACTGTCAACTGTTGTATCTTTTAGCATGTTTTCCCTTTTTTGTTTTATTTTTCTTTTCTTCGGTAGATTGAGATGTGGCAGCCTATTGGTAGCTTTCTGGGATGCTTTCTCCCCAAAACAGAAACCTCCATTGCTATGAATTCTCATGCTCTCCATGGAAAGTTTAAAAAAAACAAATACCATCGTTTGGTATTTAGGAAAGTCAAGAGTTTTCATGGCTAGGTTTCACCCTAAATTGGGAAGATAACATTTTGAAACACCTTTTTTTTTTTTAAATTAATTTGCAAGATCCTGGCAGTTGCATTTCAGACAAGATTTTATAGGGTTTCCATTAAAAAAAAGTTTAAAATAACATACAAAATTTTACTGAAACAACCAAGGGCCAGATTTAGCTAATTAGTGAACTTATTCTTCACTCTAAAGCTATTTGCCAGTACTTCACAAAAATCTAAACAAAACTGGTTTCCTACTAGAAGGAAGAAAGTTGGAGAAAGGGGAACTTCTTTCAGCACGTTCTTAGCATGAAATATATATATGCATCAATTTTAGTAAAAATCAAAATCCAAAGACATGTCTGTGATATCAATAGAATGTACTCTAGGAAATGTAAAACTCTTGTCATTTATCTCTCTCCTTCACCTGATTTGGGGAAAGTGTTTTAAGTTTCCTCGGCTCTCTCAAGTCTGAGGTGAGTTCAGTGTAGCTCCTCAGGCAGATACAATCCCAGTTACTCTGCCTTCCCGTAGCTCTTCTTGACCCAACAATGGAGTGTTTGCATGTCGGGTTTACTCCAGGTGTGAATCGCTTTCCCCGGAGACTGAGACATGGACTCCTGCCTGCTGGAGGCTCCAACCCTCACCCCACCCCATGCTGCCCCACACACTACGAGAACCAGCCCATAGTTGACATAAGACAGGCCACGTAGAGAACACTGTTCAAAGAGTGCTGTGGACACTGGTGGTGGTTTGACTTGGGCTTTCTCATCACTGTGTGCCTCGTATTTCTGCCTTCAGGAGTGGCTGTCCCCTCGATGGCAGCCCAGACTTTATATAGCTGTCTCCCAGGTAGCGATTCAACTTACTTACACCTAGAACTAGTCTTTTGCCAGTCAGCTTTCCCTTTAATAAAAAGGATTCTTGGCTGTTTAAAAGCAGTTTGTAGCTTATAAAAATTAACACAACCACTCAGCTGTAATTTATAGGTATTTCTTTGGCAAACGCAACAGAAATGTGGTTCCCTCCATCCTTTTTCTAGTCGATTGTAATTAGTCACACTCCATTGTAGAGCAATGATGTTCTGTATTGTACTGTGACGGTCTCACTGGTTTTGCAGAGTGGGTCTGGGTTTGTTTTGTTTGGAATGTAAACAGATTGGAACCCACGTGTATGTGTCACTTGTCACCACTTTAGCAGAATGAGCTTTCACAGCTGTTCCTTCCCCTGCACCCTCCCTCTCTAGCAACTGGAGCTCTGTCAGAGGCTATACAAGCTGCACTTCCAACTGCTCCTGCTCTATCAGTCCTACTGCAAGCTCATCGGCCAGGTGCACGAAGTGAGCTCCGTGCCAGAGGTGAGTCCTCCAACTGCTCCCCCAAAACCATGTGGTACGGTGTCTTTCTTAAAAAAATTTTTTTTTTTTTTTTGGTTTTTCGAGACAGGGTTTCTCTGTATTGTTTTGGAGGCTGTCCTAGAACTCGCTCGGTAGACCAGGCTAGCCTCGAACTCACAGAGATCCGCCTGCCTCTGCCTCCCGAGTGCTGGGATTAAAGGCGTGCGCCACCAACACCCGGCCTTTCTTAATGTTTTGGTTTGGGTTTGTTTGGTTTTTGTTTGTTTTTGTCTTCCATCCTCCACCAGTTATCTTCCTTTGTTGTTGTTTTTGTTTTTTTGCATACAATTATTATTTTGTTCAAGCACCAGTGAGAAATATATTTCTATTTTCTTTGACAGTCTTTCTCTGTGTGGCTTTGGAGTCTGTGTCCTGGAAGTCTCTCTGTAGACTGGGCTGGCCTCGAACTCAGAGATCCACCTGTGTCTGCCTCTGCCTCCAGAGTGCTGGGATTAAAGGCGTGCACCACCACCACCCGTCTATTTTTAACTCTAAATGGTTCTCTAGAGCAGGGCCATAACTAAGGTGAAGAGTAAGGTACCTCACGTTCTGGGGCAGTTCTCAGACCCTGACGAGTCAGAGTCCGAGCTACTTGTGCGCAGCATGTGAGGCAGGCAGTCCCACCCCCAACCACTACAGTTACATCCTGGTGCCCCACTTGCATCACCCTTGATAAAATTAAAACCATTTGAGCACACTGCTTCCAAATGGGCTCTCGTTTTCCCTAGGTGCGAAAGTGAAGGGGTGTCGGAGTGCTCAGAGGGGAAGCACACAGCACGCATGTCTGATTTACTAAAGGCAAGGAAGGTTGGTATCTGAGAGCTGCCCTGTGGAAATCTACCCTGACCAGTTTTACAGGACAAGGGCAAGCAATGGAGCTGCATACTCAGAAAAGAACCATCTTGCTGGGCAGTGGTGGTGCACGCCTTTAATCCCAGCACTCCAGAGACAGAGGCAGGCGGATCTCTGTGAATTCAAGACCAGCCTAGTCTACAAGAGCTAGTTCAAGGACAGCCTCCAAAGCCAGAGAAACCTTGTCTTGAAAAACAAACAAACAAACAAAAACAAAACAAACAAACAAAAAAGGCAAAGAAAAGAACCATTTTTGCCAGGCTTGGTGGTGCACGCCTTTCATCCCACCATTTGGGAGGCATAGTCAGGCAGATCTCTGCAAGTTTGAGGCCAGCCTGGTCTACAGAGTTCCAGGACTGCCAGAGCTGTTACACAGAGAAACCTAATCTTGAAAAATCAAAAAAAAAAAAAACAAAAAAACAAAAAAACAAAAACCCCACCAAGAACCATCTTCATCATAAACACAGCAACATGGCCATAGAAGAAAAGCAAACACAGGCAGTTTCTATTGCTAGAATAAATGAATACCTAAAAAAAAAAGAAAGATATGCAAATGTAGAGTATATACCACTGCCTATAATTAAGAAGCAATTATATCAAGATAATAAACTAGAAGTGCCTAATGCTTAAAAGAACCCAAACAATAAAATACACACTGCCTCCAGCCTCCAAAACAATACAGAGAAACCCTGCCTCAAAAAACAAAAAACAAACAAACACACACACAGTGCCTCAAGAAAAGGTGAGTGAAAACCTTCAGAGAGAGACAAAGCCACTCATCATCCCCACCCCCAGGCTACCATCCATGGAGGATCCACTCAGATGCAAGACAGCCTCCTCCATGTGATGAAGATATAACCAGGAGGCACCCATCACCGCACCCCACCGCTGCTGCAGATTGTTAAACCTGAGAATTGCAAGGAGAAAGACCAGTTCCTCAAATATTCAATTAAAAGAATACTGGCCAGGAAAGTAGACACTGGCTAAGTCCATACCCAGGATTCCTTGAGAATGGCCAGGAGCAGCCTTGGCCAGGTGCTTATAAAGGCAAACCCACAGGGTTCCGTACTTCCTATCTTTGTCCAATCAAGGGCAAGCATGTATCCTGATGTACTTCCTGCCTATACCCAGTGCAGTTGGGTCAACCAAACTTGTTTAGGGAGGTGGAAACATGTGGACGGATGGTTGTCTTACATGAACAACAGCCTCCAGCACCTAAGTGCCTCTCCTTAGGCAAGTGGAGTTTACAGGTTAACTGTCTGCAGGTCTTTGTTGTGGAGACTCCTACCATCCTCACAGACCTGGAATACTCCAGAGAAAGCCCCACCCACTCCAGGACCCTTGCCACGGCTGCTACAGTGCACCCTGCTATGGAGGACAGTAGCTACTTCTGTCTCTTAAGTTTCTGCCATCATTGTTACCATATTCACAGACGGTAGCATACCATTCCTCAGCTGAGGGGCTGCAGCCCCCTGCCCAACAGAAGTTGCAACTATAACCTGCCCATATATAATCATATAACCCCCATCCTCCATAGAAATTGCTACTATAACCTGCCCCCAGATATTCAGAGCCAATACCCAGTGGATCAGCCATGACTCCAGCACCTAAATTGGCATGACACTTTATCCATCAGGGAGCAGCCATTCCAGGCCACCAGGAAATCCTCTCAGAGCTGGCAGA